CGGGAGGGGAGTGGTGGCGCCCCGGTGACGGTGACGGTGACGGGGTGTAGCTACGACCCCGGACCTGCGGATCAAGGCTCCGTGGCGGTTCGCGTGCCCCCAGCACACAACTCAGCCACTGCTAGGGGGTGGGAGGGCGCCCAGGGGACATGAACTGACCTGTGTATACGGCAGTAAAATAACGGGAAGTTTTTGTGTTGGACGAAGCTGTAGGCGCAGCGAGGAGTCGAGGGTGAGGGGGGTGAGCTCGATGAAGCGTGCTGACTGCGCTCTTGAAGGGCTGTTGCCGCTTCGGGGTGAGCCTGCCCGAGGGTGGCGAGGAGAGCACCGAAAGGCGAGGGAGAGCTGCAGGCACCGAGCCCGGTATAGACGCGGAGAACCCAGGGTGTTCGCCGAGCACCACCAGGGGGCGCCACAAACTCACCTAAGATTCCTTCCAATCCGCCAAAAGCGCTCCAACCTCCTAGTCCTACACCCCACCACCGAACAAATAAAAAGACCTAAAAATATTTCTAAATGCGTTTGTACCCTGCCAGTCTCCCAGGAGGGTTTTCAGAACTACTATTAAAGGAGGGAAAATTATACCGTTGTTCCAACTAACGGGAAATCAACCCCGTGGAAGGAGGAGGCGGCAAACACCACACCAGCACGTCCCACAGGGTTGATCCTTAGCGCTCACCACCACCATGGCCGCCAGGGAAAAGGGGCAACGGGACCGGAGCACTCTTAACATCTGGCTAAAGGAAGCATTCCAGTAACTCTACGTACAAACTCGAATGCCATTAATTCATTTTTCATATATATTATTTTTTATTTTTTACTGTTCAAGCAATCTATCTGCACCACAAAAGCCTGGTCTAGAGAATAGTAATGACTGGAGCAAAGGTCATGAACTTTCTTAATGGCACTTTGTACATGTAAACTTGCATTCTAAGACGGTTCTTGCTATGATTGTTAAAGATAATTCATCCCAAAGGACTTTGTATAAGGGACAGAGAATGATCAAAGAATACCATTTTCAATAACCCTCAGATAGCAAATGAAATACTTGTGCCAGTTCTAAGCTTTGATTTTCCTGTCTTGGTCATTGGATAATACCTTCCTCCCAAGGTTGCGTTGAGCAGAATTGAGACAATGCCTGTAGTAGGTAGTACATGCCTATTACACATAAGAGGCACTCAGTAAGTGGTAACTATAATAATCAATGATTGTTATAACAATAGTAGCAACAATAGAATAATAATTTTTATTCAGGTTCTTAGTAGGTAGCTTGTATGATTGGTTGCTGTATGGCATTGTATTAGTCAGAACATGCTAACTTATGAAGTGACTACAAACAAACCCCAAATCTCAGTGGCTTGAAATAAAAGTTTCTCACTTAGGTAGGCTACATGTACACTATGGTCAACAAGGGGGTGGGTCTTCTCATTTTAGTTATTCAGGGACCCAGGCTGATAGAGTAGTCACCATCTCAAATGCTGTAAGTTACTATGCCAGAAGTAAAAAAAAAAAAAAAAAAAAAAAAAAGCTCTGGCCCAGAGGGACACCTGTCCCTTCGGTTCACAAGTCAGTTTTCCAGAAATGATTACATGGTCCCACTCAACCACAGGGGGCTGGAAAGAACAGTCACCTTGGCCTAGAGAAGCAAAATTGGAAATACTATTTGGTAGCAGCAGCAGGACCCAAGTCTACCACAAGCACCAAGGAGGGCAGTATAGATTCTGGGACACATTGGTATTCCCCCACCCCCCCATCTTATCTCAAAACCATTAACGCTCTACCCACTGAGCCAAACCGGTTTCAGCCACTAAGAGCCTTCTTGTAGAGGTGATGCTGAAGAACACGGGTCGTATCTACAGTCCACCCTTTGCAGTGCTCAGATCCATTTGTGGCCCCATGTTAAATTCACTTTGTCCTGTCACTGATTCTTCAACATGGTGGCTGATTGCAAAATTTCTAAATCTTAAAAAAAAAGTGTCTTGCAACAGGAGGGCTCGTGGGACAAACTACAATAGCTGTTGCTGCAGTTGGTTCCAAGGAGTAATCAATATTCAACATCTCCCTCCTCTACAATTAATTCTGTTGGTCTCTGGTGTTTTCACCGTGGAAAAACCCAGACCTTCATCCTGAAGGCCTCAGCCTTTCATTGCCATGCCCTTGAGAGACCAACATTGCTGCAATTGCCTGTTCATGATTACCATTGGGCATGGAATAACCAAGATCAAATGTCTTTGTCAGTATACATTTTTTTGGTCTACTGGTCAATTGGCATGAGGTATCCAAAATGACCCAGAGGCTGCTGTTGCTTAGGTTTAGTGGTGCCCTTACTGTGACTCCTCGTAGACACATCTCCCAACCTAGGAACCAGGGCTTTTAATTCTGCAGAGCCTAAATTTATAGGAACAGGAAGCACAAATTCCCCACGTGGATCATGGGACTGATTATGAAAGGGTATTCTACTTCCATACCCTGGTTCCTGACCCATTATTTCTAGCTTTCTGGGATGCAGCACCATACAATGGCCACTTGTTCAAAATATATACCGTATTTCAAATGCCAGTAGCCCAATCCCAGATGATATTTCCCCAAGCTGGTATATTTCAGAGAGGGGAAGGGAGAGGGAGAGAGAAACATCAATGA